CTGTTGAAGAAAGTGTTTGTGTGAACAAGTCGTGATCTTGCAAAATTCTGTCATGTGATCTTTAGCTTCATTTTTATCACCAAGCCCATATTTTATGACTTTTCTTTCCTCTGTTTCTAACTTTTTCATTACATTTACCAATGATTATCATGTGTCTTGATTGCATGTTTGATCAATTTCTGAAGGAAGCTGTTTGTAAAATTCTTTTCATTTCTGCATCACTAGCTCTCGTGATGGTGCGTAAGTTTGAATAATAGCTGTATTGATAGGGTTACACGCATCTGCCTTCAGATGACCCAATCACAGACAGCATTGCACTTTAAGATTCTGAAATGCCCTTTCTGACGGTGAATCCAGTACCGTTCCTCTTGTGTCGCTCTCAGTGTAGCAGACCACACGATTCTCTGATTCAGAATGGCCGATGCCGGTCCATCTCAGCTCACCGTGCCCAGGACATCGGTCTTCATGTTCCATTTCATTTTGGAGGACTTCCGGTTTTCCTAGGTTCATGCTTGCCCGTTTCAAGGTCTGAATATGGGTCGGTGTGTGCAGCTGTTCCCACCTTGAGTTGGCTGCTGGGCAAATGAAGGTCCCGCAGGCCCCACTCCCGCAGGCTTGACTCCGTTCACGTCACCCTCAGCCACCTTTGAGCGCCTTCCGGCCCAAGGGTCCCGTCCTCCGGCACTCTCTCGGACAGTGCCCTGCTTCCGGTCATGCGGCCTCCAGGATCTGTGTTCGAAGCTGCGCACAGGGTTTCTTGCGCTCGTTCCTCCAAAGCGGGCAGCCGCTTCCTTCTTTGTCGTCCGCTCTTGGTCTGGGAGCGCCCCTGAAACCTGTTCACGTTGGGTGACCCTGCTGGCATTTGAAACACCAGTGACATGGCTGCCATCACTTCAGTCACACCACCAGAGGGTGACAACACACTGGCAATTGGTGGGCACAGGGACAGGTCGATTGGGGTCATGTCAGAAATGCTCATTTATATCCGGTTCTTTTGGCTGAGCATGTAATACAGCATTTTCTCTGTGATCCAAATATGGGGAGGGACTTTTTTTTTTAATACTGTGCCTAGGGTGGAGGGTTACCGAGCAGACCTGTTTTCCGTTCAACAGTTCCTAACGCATGTTTCACGTTGTCGCCCTCCCCACCCACAAGGTGACCTCACTTCTCCCTGTTCCTGCTTCCACTCTTCCTCTCCGAACCCTTCTGAAGGTCGATCTGTGGGTGAATGCCGCCCTTGACCTCCAGAGGTCGGTCAGCCGGCGGGGTGTGCTCCTCTCGACCCGCCTGCTCCTAGCAGTTCCGTTCTCGACCAGAAGGGGGTGACTAAGGGCCAAAGTTTACGGCGCTTTTGCCAGTTTGTCACCAGCGTGCCTGATCTTTTAAGGGCCTCAGGCTTTCCCCGCTCTCTGTCCAGACCCCTTTCAGTGGTTGCTGGGCACCGTCCAGTTCTGGTCTCAGGTCCATTAGTATTTGGACCCTCTTCTCTGCTCCAGGTGGGGAGAGTGTTTTAAGAAACCCTGCTGAGTCCCGCTTCTGTCCTCGGTCACCCAGGCTTTGCCTGAGTTGTGGTCGGGGAGATGCTGTCCGAGACTGGTCGCCCTTGGGGCCCACTCCTCTCCGCCCCTCTGCACCCCGGCTGTCCACTGACTGTCCCACTCTCTGCAGAGGCCCTCAGCCAGCCGGAAGTGCACACCGGCCCCAGGGACCCCAGGATATCTTTGGGTGTTTGGGAGGCCCCTGGCTCAGGTGAGTAGCTCGAGACATGAGCCCTGTGCTGTTCTCTGCTCCCCCTCCCCACTGTGCCTTCTCCCCCGTGTATCTGAGTGGAGGGGGCCAGGTGATGGGGCTCAAGGGGCTAATGATGACCCAGGGGCCGTGGGCTGGGGATGGGCAGGGGTCTGTGTGGACACTGACAGCAGGTGAGGAGGGGGACAGATCCATGCATCTGCTGGGCCCTTTTCTCTAGAATCCGGAAGCCAGCGGTGGATAGCCCAGGGGCGACCCTCTGCCTGGAGTAACCCCAGAGGAGATCGGGGGCCACACTTTGCGGCCCTGGGCCCAGCCCCATCCCTGCAGCAGCCCCTGGGGTCAGACTCGGGGCCCAAAGACTGCAGGCACAGCCCCCACGGGTGCTGCCCCGACGGCCACACTGCCTCTCTCGGGCCTCAGTGGCAGGGCTGCCCTGAGGTCTCATGTCGACACAGTAGGTAGGTGCTGAGACAAGCCCCGCCCCCCCCAACACCCAACCAATCTGGTCGGCGGGTGGGCGGGGAGGGAGGGTGTGAAGCAGTGGTGCCGGAGCTAGCACAATTGGTGCCTGGTGGGGCGGGGAGGGGCTGCGGCCACCTCGGGCACCTGCTTCCTTTCGCTCAGCTTCTGGGTGTCACGATGCTCCATCTCGGTTCTGTGACTCCGGCACGCGTGTCTGAGTGACACGGTGCGTCCCGGGGTTTTCAGCAGGTCACCAGGTCTTTCTTCGGAGTCACCTCTGGGTCAGCAGCGAGGGTGGGTGTCCCCTGGGGGCACCCCTCAGAGACTCTGGAGGAGGGTGCCTGTTTGTTGGGTCCCTTCCGACTGGAGGGCCTGTGTGCGGGCTGGAAGGGTGCCGCAGGGTCAGAAGCCTCAGCATGCCTTTCTTCCCAGGGGCCTCTGTGTGGGTTTGCACTGCCAACCTGTCGGGTCGGAGTGGAGTCCCTAACTCTCTGTGTCACCTAGTGTTGACACCTCGGTGGGGACGTGCCCTGGCGATGTGGCCAGAGGGGTCCTGTGAGCCAGCACTGAGAGGGCCCGTGGGGGAGGTATCCCAGTGCTCCCACCAGGCTCTTGGGGAGCCAAGGTGAAGGGTGGGCTGAGGGTGGGTCCCCAGTCCCATCCACCCCTGCCTGCCTGCCTCCCTCCCTCCCTGGCTTCCTGCAGGGCCTGGGCTTTGGCGCAGCAGCCTGGGGCGGTGCTCAGCTCCCTCACTTAGCACTTAGGCCTGTGGCAGAACCTCTGGGACCCCGGCTTCCTCTTCCGTGAACTGGGCCCCAAGGCAGCACTGGGCGGGGTGCCTGGGAGGGTGAAATGAATGACCTCCTTTGCCATGAGCCTTCTGCCCCTCACCTGATCGGCAGAGGCGATGCAGATGGTGGGCCCCTCCGAGCCCCCTTGTTGCCCCTTGGGAGGGAGGTGTGGGCACAGGCTGGGTGTGGTGTCCCGGGATCACCAGACCCCACCCAGGCCCCAATGGCTGGGCAGTGAGCTCAGGGTGTGGCATCTCCTAGGTATGGGTGCTGCCCTGACGGGGTGTCGGAGGCTCGGGGGCCCCAGCAGGCTGGCTGTGCGAGGCCGCCTGGCGGTGATGGCGCTGGGAACAGGCTGGGGTCGGGAGCTGTGCCGGCCGCAGTGAGTGTCTGCTTCACATGGGTGGGTGGAGGCAGGGGGCCGGCCCCCAGGCTGCTGAGTATCACTGGGTTCTCAAGTCTCTTCTGGGCTGGCTGGAGGGGGGGGAGGCTCTGTTCTTGGGGCTGGGGGCATGCCCCTTGGGCACGTAATTCTGTTCCTCTTTCTGCCAACCTCCCTGAGACAGCCTGGGCTTCTCCCTAGGTCCCCCAGGCGCAGCAGACCCAGCCCAGTGCATGCAGGGGCTCACAGTTCGGCTGCTGCTATGACAACGTGGTCACGGCGGCTGGCCCCCTGGGCGAAGGCTGTGTGGGCCAGCCCAGCTATGGTGAGTGGGCGCCCACCGTGCCCAGCCCCCCTTCCGGCGCTTCAGCATTTGCTTCCACAACACTGGGGTACATTAGCACCTAGAAGGTTCCAGGTGGGACAGTGTCCCCTCGGGCCTTCCAGCTGCTTGGGGTGTCGAAGGCTTGTCCAGGAAGGCTGCCTGCCCCTGGGAAGTTGTCCCCCTTCCGTGACAGGGCCAGCACTGCTGGGATCAGGAGTGTGTCCTGACTTGGCTGGGACATGGGCAGCAGAGGTTGGACTGGAGGGGCCTCCAGAGGCTGTGGGTGGGGGTGGGGGGGGTGTTTCCAGTTGAGGAAGTTGGTGCCAGTGCCCTAATGTGTGTTACCCTTGAGCTGGCCTGGTAGCACCTGGCCGTGGGGCATTGACGCAGGCGGTGCTGAAGGCACTGTGCGGCTCCAGTGACCAGGCTGAGTTTTGAGGCTGGTGTAGGGGCCTGGGAGCAAAGGCAGCTTCTTGCTGGTCTTCGTCCTAGGCCCCTGGCTGGCTGGGCCCTCCTCCTAAGTAAGTACCACCCTATGGGTGGAGCCCATGCCATCTGCAGGCCTCAATTCTGGGGGTGGAGGTGGGCAGGTGATTCCTGGCTGCTGGGCCCCCAGCTGGGACCTGCATTCTGTCCTGTCACCAGCTCAGACAGCGAGCAGGGCCTGGCGTGACTCGTGTCCCTTTCACGGCAGCTTATCCAGTGCGGTGCCTGCTGCCCAGCGCCCACGGCTCCTGTGCAGACTGGGCTGCCCGCTGGTACTTCATCGCCACTGTGGGCCGGTGTAACCGCTTCTGGTATGGTGGCTGTCACGGCAACGCCAATAACTTCGCCTCGGAGGAGGCGTGCATGAGCAGCTGCCGGGGCTTCCAGCCCGGCGCCTCCGTCCAGAGCAGTGCCCTGGGCGGGGGCCAGCAGGAAGCCAGTCGGCACAGGCTTGGGGCCACAAGCCAGGGCCAGCGGGACCACGAGACTGGCATGGGTGGCAATGCTGGGCAGCCAGCACCAGCGTCCCGGAGGCCTGCTCACAGGTGTGTGGCCCGCACTCCCCAGGGCTGGGGACAGGTGCAAACCTGAGGCCAGCAGCCCGCCTCCCGCCCGGCTGCTAGCACCCCAGCAGCCCTGCCCTGAGTTCTGAGATGGCCGGGCGGTCCATGGTGGTGGTCTCAAAGCCTGTGGACTCGGCCGGCAGCCACTCCCCCAAGGTGTCTCAACTGCAATGGGGGCGGTGTCTCCTGCCTGGCGTGGCTGTCGGTGTTCTTGTCACGAGTGAGGGATTTGGGCAGCTTAAAAAGTTTGAAAGAACCTAAACTTTACATTCCAGAGGCGCCAGACCTCTCCTTTCACCGCCCCCCCTCCCCCTGCATGAATTCAGTGTGCCATTTAACTGACTCCCCTTCTCGTTTCACCTGCCCTGTTGCTGAAGGGCCAGGTTGAAGCAGCAACACCTGGGGGATGGTGGGAGGTTAGGGCCCTACTCACGAGTTCGCAGACAACTGGAGCTTGGCCTCCAGGGGCCTCTGATGCCAACCTGGGGTGGGCATCCCGCCACGGGGCTGGGCCCTGTCCGTCTGGGCACTCACCCGGCTCTTTCCCAGGGTCAGCTTGGCCACCTCCCAGCCCAGCCTGGTGCAAGCTGCCCTGGGGCGGTTTGTGCAGCTCTTCTGCCCAGAGGACACCCCCCTGGCCCCCAGTGCTGGGTGGCACAAGGATGGTCAGCCCGTCTCTTCTGACAGGTGTGTGAGGGTCCTTCCCAGGCAGCAGCCCCTTGGCTCTCCCCTGGGGCAGGAGGGAGCTTCTGGTAGGAGCCCAGCCCTTCCCTTCCCTGCTCTCCCAACTCAGGCACAAGCTGCAGGCAGACGGCTCCCTGGTCATCAGCCACCTGCAGGCAGAGGACGCTGGCACCTATAGCTGTGGCAGCACCAGGCCCAGCCGAGGTGTCCAGCTTCTCATCACAGGTGTCAACCAGCCCCGCCCAGGCTCTCCTGGGACTGGGTGGGCGGCTTGGTTCCCCCTACTGGTTCTCCTGGGACTGGGTGGGAGGATCAGTTCCCCCTATTGGTTCTCCTGGGATTGGGTGGGAGAGCCAGCTCCCCTCATGCTTCCGTGGGCTTGGGCACCTTGGTGGCAGGTGCCACACTCCCCAGGAGGGCTGGATGAATGCCTGGCCCAGTGGTCCTCGTTCCTCTGAGCTGCCTCTGCCAACCCCATTGCCCACCCTGGCCCTCTGTTCCTCACAGCCCCCTTCTCCCTGCCTCACGACAGGGCGTGGCTTGGCAGTGCAGTCTGAGACAGAGCTGAGGCACTCCCCCCAGCCCAGGGACCCCGCCCAGAGCCATGGCATGGCTGGAGGCCTGGGGGGCTTGTCATCCTCACACCCACGGAGCACAGCCAGGTACTGACCAGGGGCAACATCTCACTCTCGGCTTCCCACCCTGGGCCAGCACCATGACAGTGGGTGGGAGAGGGGTCCCCAGCAGGTGGGACTGGTGTGGGCCCCGGGTCTGACAGGAGGACAGTGGCGGCTTGGAGCTGGCCTTGGCTTACAGAGGGAC